TAAGGCGTTCTTAAAAGATAATTCCCGCAGATTCATCTTTATTTATATTATCGCCGGCCTCGCTATTAAATCCTTCTACTATCTATTATAATATATAATTTCTTACTTAATAAAACGTCTTTTAAGAAAGACTATTCTTATAGGAAATAGATTTCTTCTATAAAAGTAGAATCTTACTATAAGAAGAAAGGAACTTTATACTTTATCTAAAGAAACAACTTTCTTAGCTCGAAATCCTTACTTAACTTATTTAAAGAAATAAGTATCTTTATATAACTTTAAGTTTCTTTACTTATAGCGAGAACGCTATCTTTCTTTCTTTCTATTAATATATATTATAAATTATACTTAGTAAATAAAAGCTAGTAATATAGCTTAGTATAGCTTAATATATTAGATATATTTAGATAACCAGATCTCATAGAAGAAGAGTCATCTTTTTACCACCTAAGAAACGTCTTTCTTAGAAAGATTTCTAAGGATCTTATGCTATCATAATAGAAGCTTATAATATAATATCTTAACGAAAGCAATTAATTAAACTTCGTTATTAACGACTCTTTTAATATTAATTATAATTATATAACGAATCTTTCGATATAGACTAAGCTAGAATCTCTATATCTAAAGTCTCTAGATATATTAGTCTTATATTATAATAGCTAAAATTAGCCTAGCATATATATAAAAGAGTAAAGTTCTAGATAAATAATTATATTTTATATATTAATTTACTTACTATAGATACGAAGACTAAAATACGTATTATATAAATCGAGTTATAAAAAATATCTAATTAAGAGTATTATTTATTTATTTTATATAATAGTTATAATATTTAGCTATTAATATATTATATTTCGAAGCTATTATAATTCGAAACGATCTTTAAAAACGTCTAATTAATTATAATATATTTCTAAAAGATTAATAAAATATTAATAGTACTTTATAACTATATAATTAAGAAAGATAGACGCATTTACGCTCTTATACTCTTATATATTATATAATAAAATACTTATTATCGCTTAATTATCTCTCTTCTATATAGTAAAGTAGCTCTTTATTACTATATATTAGACGATTATAAAGATAAAATAATAAGCGCTTAAAATATTAATAAGCTACTAAAAGATCCTCTCTTTTAAATATAGCTAAAGAATTTAAAAGAGATCTTTAGCGTTATTAATATATATAAAAGAATAAAATAGAATTAAATTAGAAAATCTTAAATTTATATATATAGTTAATTATAAATTCGAGATTATTACGTCTTTTAACTAGATCGACTAAGTTATTATAAATAAATAAATTAGCATTCGCAACTATTAAAATCTCGCCCTTTTATATCTTTCTTATTAAAAAAATAAATATATATTATTAATATATAGAATAACTTTTTTATTTTCTATTAAAATTTTAAGATTTTCTTTTTTAATTTTAAAGCGCCGTTTATACTTTTCGAATTTTTAAGAATTTTAAAATTAAGTCTTATAATTATTAAAGTGTAAGAAATTTAAATATCGCTTATTAAAGTTCGCTTGATAGTCGAATAGCCTTAATTAGATATATATTATTTAATTTTAAAATAACTTTTTTATTTTCTACTAAAATTTTAAGATTTTTTTTTTAAATTATAGAACGAAATATAGGCTTTTAGAAAAAAAACGAATTATTAAATTTAATTCTATAATTATTAAAGTGTAAGAAATTTAAATATCGCTTATTAAAGTTCGTTTATTAAAGATCGCTTATCTACTTACTCAATAGCCCTAATTAAAAAAATAATTATAAATTTAATTTATAAATCTTTACTTATATATAAATAATAAGTTATATTAAAACGAGTAAAGGCCTATAAATTAAATTTATAATCATTTTTTTAATTAGAGCTATCGAGTAAGTAGATAAGTAATCTTTAATAAACGAACTTTAATAAGCGATATTTAAATTCTTTACACTTTAATAATTATAGAACTAAATTTAATAATTTTTTTTTTCTAAAAGCCTATATTTCGTTCTATAATTTAAAAAAAAAATCTCAAAATTTTAATAGAAAATAAAAAAGTTATTCTAAAATTAAATAATATATATCTAATTAGAGCTATTCGACTGTCGAGCGAACTTTAATAAGCGATATTTAAATTCCTTACACTTTAATAATTATAAGACTTAATTTCAAAATTCTTAAAAATTCGAAAAGTATAAACGGCGCTTTAAAATTAAAAAAGAAAATCATAAAATTTTAATAGAAAATAAAAAAGTTATTCTATATATTAATAATATACGTCTATTTTTTTAATAAGAGAGGCGCGAGAGGGCGAGATTTTAATAATTACGGACGCTAATTTATTTACTCGCGATAATTTAGTCGATTTAGTTAAAAGACGTAATAACCTCGAATTTATAATTGACTATATATATAAATTTAAGATTTTCTAATTTAGCTCTATCTTATTCTTTTATATATACTAATTAGAAGATATATATTTAGAATATATTTTAAAGAGATAAAAAATTATTAAATCTCATCTTCGACGTCTATAAAATTACTCTTTCTTTTATTAGACTTCTAATATAAACTAGATCTTTAAGCCCTATAAAAATAAAGGTAATAAGAGCCCTATATAGCTATCGACTATCTTTTAAACTTAATTTAAGAAATAAATACTATTAATTCATTTTGCGATATTTTATATAGATTTAATCTATATTAAAAAGAGATTAATTAATAAAAAATAAAATTACGTACTTAACTTTCTTAATATTTATATTTCTAATACTAATACTTAGTAAGCGTCTATTTATAAAGCTTTTTATAAATTTAAATATCGTTAAGATATATTTACAGCTAACGCACTATACTAAAAAGATAAAAATAATTCTAATTTATTCTAATCTCGTATATTAATCATAGCACTAAGACTCGCTATTTTAATCTTAAGACTCTTTAGAACTCTAGCTAATTTAATAGCCTTAAAATAAACCTTTTTTATTTAAAACCTCCTTTATAATAAGCTCCGCAATTATACTCTTTCTAAATAAATAAATAAGCTTTAATTTATCTATATTAATACTCGAGTCCTTTATTATAAGTATACTACGAGAGCGGAAACTAAAGAATTTATAAATAAAAAGTAAGATATTACATCTATAGAAGAATTATAACTAATTTTAAATAAGGATATAGAGCTAGATATAGAGAAGGAGTATCTACCTATATCGGAGCCTATAAATATATTAATTAATAACGATAATATAAAGCCTAACTACGAGATAAACGCGTTATTAAAAGCTCCCATAGCTCTTATAGCTTCTACACATACCTCGAATCTATATAGCCTTATTTCTTAACTCGTAAGAGTACCCTTAGTAGAACTAGATTACACGAAAATGATACCTCTTAATAGATAGATTCCAGGCTAAATTATAAGTACCTACTAGTGCCCTACTAGCGTGACCGTTAGACTAATTGCTTTGCAGTAATTACACGGGTAATTACTAAAAGTGTAATTACTGCAAGGCTTTTGGTCACATCGCTAAACACCAGCCGTGCAGCCCTACAAGTAAGGTAAGGTAGAGACAGGCATTCATTGTGAGCTGCGTGCCTGTCTCTTGTATCTCGCCTGTCACCACCAAAGTACACATCCATAGTCAATGTGATCTTCAATTCTACTCTTTCGAAGACTATCAACTATGGACCAAACACAGCAGAAGGCTTTAAATGCCCTTGAACCCTACATCCTCCTCTCCAAATCCGCAAACTCACCACGAGCAGCTGCCGACCTTGTTACCCAAGCTACATCCGCACCAAACACCTTCGTCTTCGCCGAGCTTCTTCAGACACCAAATATCCAGGCTCTACAGACAGCATCAAAGGAATATGCACCTTACCTCACCCTCTTGCACATCTTTGCCTGGGGAACGTGGTCTGATTACACAGGTCAGTCCAAAACCACTCTTGCGCAGCGCTCATACGCCAATTCTTTTGATCCAGAAACAACAAATCTCCCAAAGCTCTCAAATGTACAAGAACAGAAGCTCCGCCAGCTCACTTTACTGTCCCTCCCTACGTCCCCCACCACCCTCACATACGCGCACCTGCTCTCGGAGCTCTCCCTTTCCACCACTCGCGCCCTGGAAGACCTCGTTATAAGTTCTATTTACGCCGGACTGCTTACAGCAAAACTCGACACCCTGTCCCAACGTGTTGATGTCTCGTCCGTCGCCCCTTTACGAGATCTGAGACCTGGCTCCGTCCCCCGCATGGTTTCTGTGCTGGAGGATTGGGATACTCGTTGCGTGAGCGTCTTGGGCGAGATTGAAGGACAGGTTCGGGAGATCAGGAGGAAGGCTCAACAACAGAGAAAGCGAGAAACGGAGCATGAGAAGGCTGTGGCAAAAAAGATGGGTGAGAATGAGGATGGGAAAGGCAAGCTTGGGAAGAGAGGAGGCGGAGAGGAAGCGGATGAGATGGATATTGACGAAAGCGGACGAAAATTAAGGGCAAAGAGAGGTGGAGGCAACTTCTTAGGCGGGCTAGGTAGAAGATTAGGTGGTGGTAATTGAGACTGCCTTAGCTATCATAGCCAGCACGAGAATTCGCCGGTGTCAAGGACTAGATGGACGTTTATAAGATTCGCCTGACACTTTGGTTCTTGGACTAATCTGCTCTCACGGATCCATCCTAGCGAAAGCTTGAGTGAGAGGATAAGCAGGATCGTTTCACCGTCAGAATACTGTGAGAGACTAATTGCTACAACTCGTTACTACCGACCTAGAAGCCGAAACGATGATTGCGCATGAAAGTATCATAACTGGAGAACAACTGTAGAGACGATAAAACCCAAAATGTCTCCAGAGGCTCGAGGCAACGCCTTCCATTTGCCGTTAAAATGTCTGCTTGTGGGCGTCCTGCCTTTTCTTCCAATCCCTGGGTATCTCGTAACCATCAATTCCACTCCCCAAACGCCTGTCCAGAAGTGCATAGAATCGTGTTACTCGGCCAAATGCTTCAGAACAGTCAGCTTGTTCTTCACATCAGCGGATCGCGAGGGGATACTGACCGACCATTCCGGTACCAGCTTGATCTGGCTCCACATAAATTTCTCCAGCTTATTCGCGCTTTTCGCGTATGGTGTCGTCTCGTTGTTGTACTTCCGACAATTGTCGAAGATGAGCTTCGCGTCCTTGATAAAATCTTCTGGCGTTGGGTATAAGTCCTTCTCGTGCTTCTGTTCCATCGTGCTCAAATCCATAGGCTCCTTGATTACATCGTAGTAATCCGCGACCTCATCTCTGTTGACAGGCTGCGAGAAGGGCCAAGAGGAGCCATGGTTCTGCATATCATTGAGCAAATGCAATAGTTGATTGTAGTTTGGTCCGTGGCGTGGCTGGCGAGCGAGCTCATCCATGTCAGGCGACCAGCCAGAAGCTTTGATCGCCGGAATAGACATAGGATCGATCTTGCAGGGGCCATTCTTCCATTCCTTTGGCGGGGAGTGAACTATATGGCTTTTCGAAAACGCACGGATTTTGGCAGCGACTGCTTCTTTCTGCTTCAGTAGCATTCGACCAACTTCGAGGTAGCGAATACGCGGGACCATAGTGCATTGCATTATGGTGCCGCCTTCGTAATCTTTGATGTATCCCATCCAGATCGGTTTCTCGAGGGTAATTTCTTTGGTGAAGCCCTGCTTCTTGAAATAGCCTATTGCGTAGTTGTCCGCGTATGTAAGGAAGTGTTTGATGGGTGAGGTGGCCTTGACATAGTCTTTCAGGTGGGACATGAGATGCGCGCCGTAGCCCTTGACCTGCTGATCCGAAGAAATGGCGCAGAAGACTATTTCGGCGAACTCGCGGGCGTTAAATGGTCGATATGTAATGCCTCTGGACAGAGTCAGCGACGACAATGGAACCGGAAATGTCCGAGTATACCCAACAACTTCGAGCGGTTTCTTGACAATAGCTATGGAGAGATGGGTACGGTCGTAGACTAGTCGAGCTATGTAGTCCTTTGGCATCTTGGGTAGCTGCTTTTGGAAGATGCATTTCAGACCGGTCAAAATGATGAGACTTTCCCTGCTATTATCGTTGTTGACAACCCGGAACTCGATCTCGCCATTGCGCTCCTCCGCGACGGCGGGCTGTTGCTGTTGGTCAGATCCTCTCGATTCCAATAAGATAGAACTAATCATACAGACCTTCTCTGGAAAAGGGACAACTCTTGGTTTCCCCTCGGCTTCTGGTGTGATAGTCTCGGAATGGGAGTTCTTGACACGCTTGCTTGGGCTTTCACTTCCCAACTGATCGCTTGCTTTGCGCTTGGTGTCTGAATACATGTCAGTCTGTAGCTTACTCCCCAGACAGATTACGCACGCTCTAGTATCATTGGCGCCATCTTGCATGGTGTTCCTATTCCAGTCAGCAGAGAAGACGTTGCCGTCGGAGATAAGGGCGCGGACTGGTCCTGGGACTAGTGCGCCTTGGCACGCTTGCTCGACCAGAAGCAGTGGAAGGTAAAGTTGTCCTTAGGAGAACATCAGCAAAGCCATCCTTCACGATTCTCTTGATTGCAGAAGCACTCACTTGCGCACCATTGTGCCGGATACACTCCCGATTCTTAGCTGACCGGAGGCTCGCGGTTTTCAATGTCGTTGAATGAGGTGTGGGAGGGAGCAGCTAGCAGCCCGTTTTATCCTCTCGTTCCCAAAGAAAGGCAGCTCTTAGTTGGCTTTACTCTCTTGCTCATAGGTGGGTGACTCCCTCAATTTATTTCAAGCACTTGCTGATTTGCGAAGCCTTCGTTCTGACTGGCCTATTCGGACTGAGTAAGTGAAGCCGTGCAGAATGTTGAGAACAGGATTAAAACCTTAGAAGATCGTTCATTCAAGAACATTCCATTTCTCGGTGTGCCTGCATCGTTGGCTTTTGGGTAAGTTTGCTGGGACATACAACAAAGGACGCATCTGACCGTCTGGCAGTTTTGGCTCGGTGTTCATGATCTGTGCAGTCGGCGTTTACGTCTGAGAAGAAACTCCCAGTTAATCCACATCTGAGGAAGCTATGTCGGCTTTGTACAATACTATGATTTGATACCCACACTACTTCATTATCGATCTCTTGACGGTCCTCCGTTTCTGCCAATCTCTACAAGTTCCTGCGTGTTTGCTTCGGAAAGAAAAGGCAGCATGGCCTCTGCAAATGACAATGCAGACAATGCAGCACCACTCTTTACTGCAGTCTCAGGTTCTGCCCGACAGCTCTTTCAGCTTCTTCGCTGCATCAATTTCGTCTCCAAAAGTCATGTTCAGATTACAAAGGAAGGGTTACGCTTCACAACGGAAGAGTCCCAAGTAATGCAAGGTCTGTCAATGCGGTATTTGTCTCTGCCAGGGTTGCTAACTTGGGCCCTAGGTATCGCCTTCCTTGACAAAGCACTATTTACGGCATATACGTACTCTCCTCCCGCCCACGAAGACACTGAAGATTTTGAGCCAGCTCCCTTTCAAATATCTCTATCATCTCTTCTCGAAACCCTTCAAATACTCGGCATCAACGAAAGCAAGGATCGCTGGTCCAACCGTGACTCAAATTACAATGGCATCAACGGCTTCTCTTCACGCGGTGGACCAACCGGAGCTTTCGACAACCGCATCCTGGGTATGAACGGTATTTGCCGCTTAAGCTATGCTGCTGCAGGCGAGCCTCTATGCATCATCTTGGAAGAAACTGGAGTGACAACAACGTGCAACTTAGTCACATACGAACCCGAATTTCAGGAGGAGATCCCGTTACAGAAAGACGCCATAGCACAGAAAATCATAATGCGGGCAAGCTGGCTGCACGATGCTATTAACGAGCTCTCGTCTACATCTCCTACACGGCTGACTATTGTCTCTTCTCCTACGGCGCCGTACTTTACACTTTCATCTAGCGGGCCACTGGGCTCGGCAACTGTTGAGTTCAGCAAAGATCCCCAGCTGCTTGAGACATTCCAGGTACCGAGAAGGACAGTGAATACATACAAATACTCGCTCATCAAAGGTGCGAGTAGAGCCATGGCCATCGCATCTAAGGTTAGTATCAGAAATGACGAACAGGGAGTGCTGAGCCTGCAATTCATGATTGAGGTAGAAGGTGGAGGCTTCAGCTTTGTGGACTTTCGCTTTGTACCCTTTATACCTGAAGAGGGCGAAGGTGAAGAGGAGAGCGAAGTTGGTGAAGCAGAGCGTTTCGAGTAAAGGACGCTCAACTAGATTATTTGACAAACCATAACAGCTTTGTTTTAACGCCGTCGAGACCCTCACTTTTCCCCACATGCATCCATCGCGACTTTCCTTCTGGCCGCTGTCTCACAAGATCCTATTCAACGATCTCTTTCCATAAGAGGTTTGACTAACATAAAAACATATAAGCCCTGTTAACTCACTGTGACCGTGTCTGTACCCTGACCGTTTTGTCTTCTACCTTACAGTTGACGCAAAATTTCCTGATGGGATAGCTGGTGCGTGAGCGCACTTTGGCAGAGAGATATTGGCAAGGACTCTCCGGTAAACTTCTAACGCAAGAGATAAATCTGTGGAACTCGAGTTGATTCTAGATTGCCTGTAGCGGAGATCCTTGAAGAGGAAGAGAACAGAGCAAGAATCGAGGAACGGCGCAAAAACTAGCTGCCGGAGGAAGAATAGAGGGAGCAGGCATTAGAGGCTATCCAGCTTGCTCTCGAAGAACAATACCAGGGAGTTAGGTAATTACTCTCAGCTGTTTATTGCTCTGAAATATGCTGCTCCATTATTTCGCTGACCACTATACTTAGAGTAACGTCATCGAGCCGGAACGACAAGCTAAGGATGAAAAGACGGCCCAATCCACTATCACCAATTTGTTCAAGAAGCGGTTCGAGGCGCTTCTCAAACGATACGAATGAAGCCAGGTCTATACCGCCTACAATGATCACATTGCTGCAGGTGCTACACTAGAGGCAGCAGAGCAAGAAGGCGGCTGGTGCGAAAGTTTGTGATTGAGATGAAGTCTTGTCAGTCAGTGCGTTTTCGCGAGGTGGAGCGCGCAACACATTCGTCTTATTCCACTACATAGCAGCCGAGCATTGAGAGAAAACAGTTAGCCTCATCAAAATGAGAAAGAACACCAGAAACTTCTACTGACGGGACATTTTGAGAGTCGAAAGAAAGAGAGGCTGGCGAAGAGAGAGCGCAGACTTGACTTTGAGCGGATGGACTGTTGCCTGCCACATTGGGACTACAATTCTCTGTTGTCGGTTTCTGGTGAGTATGCCTGGGCTTGAGCCGGATGTCATGCTTCTTCCGGAAGTGCTGAGCATCAGACGCCTCCCCCGAGTTCTCATTTTCGTCGAATGTATCATTTCTTACGTGAATCTAATCCTAAATATACAGAAAATAAGGATGGTGTCCTCTTGAGTGCAAGCAAGCATAGTCTAATTTGGTGTTTCTCCCTATCGGCCGCCTCAAATGAAGCTGAGATATCGCTCTGCTGCGTCCGTAATATGTTGGAGGAAGCCCTCTCATTGATGGCTGTACTCGTATCTATATGCATGCCAATGGCATCAACATCTTATGTAACACCGCAAATGGAATTACGCTATTACCGTGATACTCGTCTCAGGATCTATGAGATGAAGTTTTGACCGTAAGCCTGTGTGTCCCTAAGTCTTTGGTGGTCGTAGGTCAATCAGCGGAGGAAGTATTTGGTGCAAGCTAAGCTTCTCTCGGAAAAGACCTCATAAATACCAGCTCTTTGTGACTTATATCGAAAGTCTCGTTCTTGACAGTGGATTCGACTGATCATTGACTGCTTTAATATGCCTCCAATGTCTCAAGCAGCCACAAAGCGAGGTCCATCAGTTCTAGTGAGTCTCTGCCCAACTATGTGTAGCCAAGCACCTGTATTATTGGAGCTCCCTTTGTTCCCTTTGCTCCCTTTGCTCACAACTCGCCTCCTACAGGTCACAGACTCCCGCGAACAGCACAATCCTCAAAATCGCCCTGCCCAAATGCTCATGCGACAGAATTCCCGCTTCGTAACCGTCGACAGTGTCCTCCAGTATGCCTCCGACATCCCCTCCATGCAACAACGACAACCACCAAGTATTCGACCCCGCGCCCTCCGCACGGGCTCTGGCAGGCCCGCAGATCCCAAACTCGCAGGTCGGCTAGTGCCTCAACTGATGCCTGCACGAAGTACTAAAGTTAGCGAGAAATTGGTGCTCCTACCGGAGACTGCGACAGAGGAAGCAGAGATAGAGGAGAAGGCAGATTACGATGAGGATAATGAGGCGCTACCTACGAAGGATGACGAAGAGGCTTTAAGGAGAACGGGAGGCAAGAAGGGAAAGAGCTACGCCGAAAGATTACCGAAGGCCAGGAGAGCAGAGAAATTGGCAAGGGTCACGGCGTACTGTACCGCACAGGCCTACAAGTTGAGAGGAACCGCAAGCTTTCTGAAGGAGAAACACTCAGCAAGGACGAAGCTCTACGATGACTGCCTTTACGTTGTGTATCACCTTCCAATACTGCCAGGCAGCGGAGGCTACAGGATCAGAAGCAGTCCGGTGCTGAAGAGTCCAGGTGGGAAAGCAGTCCTAGATGAGGAGATTGAGAGGAGCGAGTTACGGGATTACGGGGAAGGCTACTTTGAGGAAGATGGAGGTGAAAGCTTCGGGGTACGAGGTACTGAGGGCGAAGAGAGTCCCAAAAGATTGGAAGATGACCACCTCACGAATGGGTACAGACCCAATGGGCCCGGAGAACACGAAGCTCCAGCACGCTCAACGAGTCCATCTAGGGTAGCAACCAACGCGCTGAAATTTGCCGAGATGTTCGTCTTTTCTTACGGAGTGGTAGTGTTCTGGAACTTCACCGAACGGCAGGAGAAAGACATCTTGGCGGATCTCACGTTCTCAGAGTCCGAAACGGGAATTTCCTTGGTCAATGGCGCCCAAAGAGAAGAGGACTTCGAGACAGAGGAATTCCACTTCGAGTACTCGCCAGAAACGCCCAGGCCGAGGGTCTTCAATGACATGATAACCTTAAGGAGCGGAGACCATATGATCAAGCTTGCAATGTCTCATGCTATCGCTCAAAGTACAAAGCTAAGTTTCTTCGAGCAGAGGATGGCAAATCAGATGATCGAAGCTCAGCATGTACCAAAGCGATTAGCTTTGACTGGAAAGCTGGGTATGAAAAGGGAGGAAGTCGTTAAGATATTAGGCGCGCTGTTCAAGAGTCGTGTGGATGTCAACTTGTCCTCGAATATGCTTGACGTCCCCAACTTCTTCTGGGACAGTGAACCAACCCTTCACCCTCTCTACTATGCCGTCCGCGAATATCTCGAGATCAAGCCTCGGATTCAGGTCCTTAACGAACGCTGCAGGGTCTTTCTAGACCTTGCTGAGATCCTGTCAGATTCCATTGCGGACAACAAGATGTCCCGTAAGTCTCTCCCGAACTGTAATAACTAGCATGGTAAAGACTAAGACATGAGCTAACAAATACTGTGACAGGCCTAACATGGATTATCATCGTCCTCATTGTCCTCTCGATCTTCGTAACATGCTCCGAGGTATTTCTGCGGTTCGGCATTCTCTCTACCCGTGGCGCGAAAGCAAAGGGGTTACCAATGTGCATCATGCCTGACCGCGATGGTCTTTGGTGAAATCTTAGAATCGAACGAGATATACACTTCCGATACATTGTATAATGACTGGCTTGCTCATCATGGCGAGCCATTTTGCCATTTGGCTTCTGCATCTGCTCGTTGCTAGCGCGGCGCTTTAGAAGTCTTCATAACAGGATACCGTTTGAGCTTCATGGCTCGGCATAACATAGACTTGGATGCCCCTTGTATATAAATCGCTTGCTTACAAAGGCAATGTGAGAGTCTCAGGTACCCAATCAGAGGCCGAGACTAAGGAACCATGTTGAATGTCCTCGAAGACCATGAAGAATGGCTCCTTCCTGCGCATTTTGTGGAATCAGAACTCTTCGAAGATAATATGTTAGGACTGCCAACTGGCAGAGTCTGATAGCCGATGAGCCGCTGTGTACCAGCATCTTTCAGATTTTGTGCACTCATAGTTGACAAGCCAAGAGAAGTTGACAATCGATGGGCAGAAACAGTCTGAACAGCTGCTCCATGGACGATACACTTGGGACTTCGTGCTCATGTGATCAACATTCAAGGAGTCTCTACCACTGTGACTGCGACATTCTCTGATAGCTGCATGTAAGAGTCGAACTCCCCTTTTCACGGTCTGGTTACAGCCGTTGGCGTCTGCTCAGTCTCTACTCTACCTACTTTGATAAAGCTAGGATTAGTTGTAGACTGAGTCTTCGTTGACGTCGTGGCGACTTGTACCTATGAAGAAATTCTCGGTAAGTACAAAGTTTCTCCCCGAAATCTAAGACAGAGGCATAGTGCAAGCAGATAGAACCCCACGTGGCTTTGAAATCTGATCAACTCGAAAAGTTGGGCGTCGAACACTGGTGCCTAGCAAGAAGTAGGTCAGCCAATTATGTACAACGGAATAGTGGGATAATGAAGTGATTTATTGTTTTCCATCCTATAAATGAGACCGTTGACGCTTACCGCACTCTGTATCGTGTCTTAACAGACATGAGATCCACTAGAGCTCATGCACTGCGGAGAGGCCCTCAAGGCCTCATCAGGTTACAAGTACTAGTACCTTCCTTACCGTACCTACCTATGGTATTTTAGCGCTGTGGGGAGCCAAGCTAAGGATTTTTAGCGCATCCAAGGTTCGTCTGCATCAGTTCGCCTGGAAGAGGAGTCGAGGACCAGCATTCAGGCTAAAAATCTCTTTCTCTTTCAATTACGACTGCTTCTTTCGCTTTTGAATTCCATATCCGATGCCCACTCCTACGGCTGTGGTAGTTCTTTCGATTGTCAAAGTGTAAATTCCCACTCTTTCCATTGTAACTTCCCTCAACTCCTCAACCTAATGATGTTGTATACGCCGATACCAAGGCATCATAACTCGACATTCTTGCGACTTGGCATACAACGTTTCATCCTCCAACTGATTACAAGATGTACATAACTAAGGCTGCAGGTCACGAACCAGCCTGCCCGCACAGCTACAAAGAAACCCACCCTTGCCGTCCCGCACTTTCAAACAATAGTCTGAGATGATGTCTCACTTAACGGTCCTGCATTCATCACATACAGAGTCGATAGCAGACCTAAGAAGCGGAAGATCTGGCCATAGGGGCCCAAACGATCGAGGTACAGTTGCGCAAGCAAAACATTGCTCTGACCATCACGCCCCGTGCTCCGAGTCGTCAGCTTCGATTGTGTTTCTTCGTCGACGAAAAGTGTGACCTGTTTGCTCCTTGCGGGAAGTTTAACTTTTTGATAGTTGTCTTCCGATTCTGGAATTCATTGACGTCAATTTGCGAACCAATCAATGGTCGAATGGAGCTACAGACCAACATTCTTCTTACTCCGTACTTGCACAGTCTTCTGGTCACAATCGTAGACCACCACTGGGCTGTTCGAACGTCCACGTTCTCTGAGGAGCTGATGCTTGAAAGGTTCTTGATCCTCGGACACAGTTGCAGCCTTGGCCGTACTCTCGTGGCCGATATCCATACAGTAAGAGGATTGAATTAAAAGATCGAGATGACAATCTGGGTAACAAAGGCAAAGCGAACCTGAATAATCTTAAGATGAGAACGAGAACTCAGTGCTTGATTAAAGAGTTATGTGGAAAGGCATCACTGAGGGAGAGTCACACGTTGAAGTCATAGTGGAACAGTCACTTGAGAACCGGCTAGCCTTTATGCATCGAGGTAGAGGCTCAGCGCAGAGGGTGATTGAGACGTTTGAGAATTGGGTTGTTCAAACTTGCTCCTGGTCATCATTGCATTGTCGGTTAGCCGTCCAATGGAAAACTCTCCGCCCCACACTTCCCGGACCCAAGGCAGAATCAGTAGTTCCAGCTTTGTGGGGTGGTGGAGCGACACGCGATGTCACCATGTGCGACTCCTTCGTGTTGCGATTCTTTAAGGATGGCCAATGCCCTGACGTTGCTCTCCTCCTCAAATACGTTTCGTGTCAGCGAATGACGCCCGGTTTCGACAGGATCAACCGTATGGCAGCCATTTTATGAAGGCGTAGAAACACACAGGGATCTAGATCGCTCTGTGCGTCCTATAATCGGGCTTACCGTTTTGTGTGCAACCTGACCAGCGATGGCTTTCCATCTCAGCCTCGGCGCCGGCAGATCAGCTCAAACCCCAATCATCTATTGGCTGATAGGTGCTTTATCACTTTTCGGTTTCGAGTCAGACCTTAAGATACCAATTTACTCAACCGGACATGGCCGGAAGGCCCAATGGGAAAGAACAGAGCAGCTCTAGCCATTAAAGCCCAAGGGCGTCCCTCGGCTTAGGAAATACAAACACACTGGCTGATAGGTCTGATGAGCACAGACACCACACCGCAGGAGATTTGGCCCCAGATCCTTCTTGTTATCTTCATGCAACAGAGTCTGCTTAAGCCACATGCATGAACTCCCTGCAATGACCGCCATCATTGCGGCTCTGCAGACTTACTGGGCAGAATGAAGGTACTTAAAGCCAAGCTACGCGTTTGGAATATAGTTGCCGCTTTCAAAGTCATTGACTTTCTCCCTGCTTCATACTGCAATGCAATCTCACCCAGGCCAAGCGTTCGAAACTCAGGCTCAGGCGCAAAGGGAAGAATCCGCCGAGGAATCTCTTCCCACCAAATCTCACCCTTTGCATGGAAACACTGCAGGTTCCGGCGATGCAGAGTGGCTGCTTTTTAATCTTCTTAGCCTAGGTTATTCAGACTTCGTTTCATGACTAGATCCAAACTGATTATTGTGATTGATAGATGGGGGTGGTATTCGCGGCTATTGGAGCCTTTTGGCTCTTGAAACGCTTATCGATTACATAGGCGATGAAGAGGAGAAGGAGGGAATTTATCACAGCTTTCATCCAGAGAATTGGCCTGAAAATGTTTATCAAGCTCCTCTGACAGAAGAGGAGGAACACCGGGTCAAGGAGGCCTATGATCCGGAAGTAAAACTACGCAAGCTGCCTCGCACTCGAAGATATCTCCCTTGTCATTATTTCGATTACATCTGCGGCTCAAGTACCGGAGCGTAGGCTTTCTCTACTCCTCATCTATATATTTCGCTAAAACCTCCGCAGACTCATTGCAATCATGTTAGGACGATTTCGGATGACTGTTCCAGACTGCCTCTTCGAATACCGAAGGCTAGGGCACGAAGTCTTCGGGAAGCCTCGTATGATCTCTACGCTACGATTTGGGTTAGGCGTTAGGCAAAAGTACAAAGCTGCGAGATTGGAGAAAGTATTCAAAGATGTTACCATAAGGCGTAACGAACAGCCAGGGCCTAGTGAGACCGGGAAGATCACGTTTCCATCCGGCCGAGGCTTATGTGCTACGTAAGAATCCCTTCCGTTGTTTCCACCCGTGCACCTTACTACGTCGTATGGACACGCGAGGAGCGTCGTGGACGAATGTTTTCCCACGTCATGTTGTATTTCGCTGTCCGTACATCTCTACCAAATGTACACTAAGAAGGTCAAGGATTCAAAGACACTGCGTGATGGCAAGCTAATGTTTGAATAGATGTGTCACCACTATGAAAAGCGAAGCGGACGGGCGGTCATCAAGGCTGTATCTGATTCGCTCTTACGACCATGATAAACAAGATTCGCCGGATCATTCTAGAGGACCAACTCCTAGAACGACCATGCGCTCAGGCCGAACGAACACAGATATCTCTACTAATACCAACGCAATACAGAGAAGGCGAGAGCAAAAGAAAAGCCTAATTCATATCAATTACGAGAAGGCTCAACAACTCGAGGTCTGGCAAGTAGCTCGAGCTGCCACCGCGGCAAAGTTTTACTTCGAGCCATTGAAGATTGAAAATGCCCGAAGTGGGGGATTTACGGAATTCACAGACGGAGGTTTTGGTCAAGCTAACAACCCTACACGGACAGGAAAGCAGGAAATCGAAGATCTCCACGGATACACTTCCATTGGCATCGTTGTCAGCGTAGGAACGGCGCGCAAGCTGAAGGAAGATGCGAAGAAGGCAACATTCTTCTCTACAATCCCAGATTCAGCTAGAGAGTTTGCTGATACGGCAACTGATCCTGAAATAATCCACAACGAAATGCAACGCGAGCATGCCAATCATAACGAATTTCCATACTATCGACTGAACCACCCAGGAGGTCTACAAACCGAACTTGACGAGTGGGAGCCGAAACGTAAGATGTACAACAAGAAGGACGATGGGGCAAAGACCATCGCCGACATGGAGAGTGCTTTCGCTAAATGGGCGGCAAAGCGTGATAGCATCCGGCAGCTCCAGGAGTGCGCCGATGCTCTTGTTGCCCGTAGAAGAGAACGCATGACTACCGGCAAATGGGAGCGATATGCCACAGGTTCGCACTTTGAGTGTCGAGTCAGAGGCTGCGACCCCGGGGACTTTTTCGATCGCCACCAATTCATGAGTCATCTCAGCGATAATCACCTTTTCGAAGGCGATGAGTTGAAGGATGAAGTAAGTCAATGCAGAAAACACTGGCGGTATCAGGCTGCTCCTAAGCCCTGAATAATTGTCGCAAGTGTGTACAGTATGGTAGGCGTCTTCTCTCAAAGGATCTGCAAAGACCAGATCTTCTGGTGCTTTTGGTCAACGGTTTTGGGTTTGTTCTGCCTTGGCATCATGTATGTCCTCGAAGCGCTGTATAACAGGAAAGGCTACTGTTCGTGGGTTTACGGGGAGTTGGGCTTCTCACTGGCCAGCCTCAGTGTTGGTGAACGCCAGCATGAAATGACTGATAATGAATATACCTTAATTCTTCAGCCTCGCTGAAATAGAAATCTACGGTACGCGAATGGCGTTCCATTTAGTTGGTTCCTTTGTAAATCAATCTAAGAGCTGGTCTTGATTACAACGCCACGAACAAGCTAACAAGGAGAAAGCAATGCTTTCTCGAAAGATAAACCACAATCGTTCCCAAGTTGACAAGGTCGACAAGGTATAATTTTGCGGAGGTGCGTGTGACCTGCGCCTAATTTAGCACTATCCAATATCCATGATAGTCAAATCGCCTACCTGTTTGGGGAGCAGAGAGACGGTGCGATCCCATTTCCTCGCATTACCGACTTTCCATGGCCTGGTACTAGTACACCAAAGATGCAGGGCGCTTACCTAACCCTTACCGGGGCAGTTGCATCTTTGCAAGAGGGGAAATTATTACCACGTCCAATCAGAATCTCCGCATCCGTTACCACGCAGACGAGGCTGAAAAGGTTCCAAACAAGGCTAGCGGGTGTGCACCAGGATCGACGTCCTCACTCCTCAGCCTCGTCTCTCCAGCGTGTCATCAATGAACATGTCCAGCTTCCCAATCGACGTCCACGCCGATAGCTCAGTGCCAGCCACATTGCCTTGCTCCTCTGTACCATCTGTCCGGGGCGTCAATGGAACCCAATACTGACCAAAGTTGTCAGACGATGCGCCCAGCAGGCAAAGTTGCCTGCGCAGCCTTGCCACCCTCATGACCGAAACAAGTCACCGACTGAAGGAGTCAACTGTCCAGACTGGGAATGAGGTCAGTCATGAATTCGACTCCTTGTTAAACTTATTGAGGTATCTTGCCACACGTGTAGAACACGGATGATCGAGACGGAGATGTTGCTGACGTCTCTGAAGCGTGGCGTTAAGATGACAGAGAGGCGTTGGCCAAAGACGTGGGCGAAAAGGATACGGCAAGGTTTCAAGGTAATTCCTTCAATTTCAAGGCATTGGTAGATCTTGGTACGCAAAAGGACCAGAACGGATCCCTTTTGGTCCCAGATCTCATTTCTCCTTCTACGACATTTCGTCGCTTTTGCTTTGTTACGCTATCCAACCTCGGCAATGTCTCGAAATCATTACCAGAGCATAAAAATAACAAGTCCGTCTTCCGCTGCAGCATCTCCCCCTTGCGGTCCTCAAATTCCTCGTCAATCTCGGAACTTTACCTTATTATCGCATGTTCCAATTCTATACGTACCAACCTATCATCCTCATTGCTGCTTACACCTCATCACCTGGGAAATTGCATAAAGTACTCTATCATCTGGATCGCTGGCGGACCCGCAAGCTCTCTGAATTGCAGTTCATCTCCATTGGTGTAAGTCACCTTTATCCATCTGAGCGTTCGCCGTCTCGAAATCTGAAAAGAGAAAGTTCTTCCGTTGACACGTTATCATTGCTTCAGAGTGCCATTCTAGCTGCCGCCACCATCGGCTCCTTCTCCTGGAGCGCTATTGTCGACGCATATTGGCTAGCCTCCGCATTTTGGTATTCGAGTCTGATCCTCTCAATCCTGGGCATATTGCTTGCGGCGCAACAGGTTGCAGTGCTACAGCTTCTAGGGAAACCGCCAACACGAGTACATGGGGGATGTTCGGAGAAAGCGGGTGTGCGTCGCTTTCTGCCCCTGATACTTACCGAGGTGCGACCGCGTGGGTCGCGCACAGACGCTGTATGTGACAGCGATTCGGTCGGAGAATGGAGACCAAGATGGAAAATGGTCTTCATATGGCAGTGCCCATCCATGTTCTTGTCCTACTCCGTCTGCTTCTTCCTGGCTGGGTTGACGCTCTTTGTTTGTACGCCGCTTATAAGGGGAGATAAGTGGAACACAGCTTCTGATGTGAGCTTTTCACGCATTGTTGGTGCCATTTTGCTGACAATCATGCAGATCGCGGTGGTTTACTTGGCGACTGGAGCCTTCGCTGGTCCGATTTTCGTGTTTGCGTCGTTTTGGATTTATCATTATGTGGATCTCGACCACGAGTCTCGAGATATCCCCGAGACGGAGACTGACGCTGAGATGCTGAGGGAATATGACCGTTTGCACTTCTGAGGTAATGTTGCATGGGGTTTTATGTTTATATATGACGGGTAAATTCTGAACCGCCTACGACCTATAACTTTGTGACATATAGTTGATCTTCATTCTGCTTTGTATCCTCTGCGTATTGCTTTAACGCAGTGAAATCGACGTTTCTAGCTTCAGCCACAGCAAGAGCTCCACCTTTAGGGCGAAGCCATTGGCTGCAGAGAAGGTAAACTACCTGGCTCTCATTTTTTCGATGGACCGTTCCCGCTTTGCGTAAAAAGTACGCCCGTATCTCGGTTTGTGCAATGTACAATAGTCAGATATCTCAAATCATCCGAGCCGACGTTCGTCACGTAAACAACATCCCACAGCGAAAGAGTTACCCTCCAGACCGCTCACGCCGTTCTCGCCTCTCGCAGCATCCCGAGCCATCAAAAATACGGCGTGTCCGGCTTGTCCTTGGCCGCGGCCACCGAAGTAAGACTCCCTTTAAGAGACTACTTTGGTGAATAGTTTAGAGCAGGCAAACTTGTGAATGCAAGAGACAACGATACGGAAAGCAGCTATCAGATGCGAACGGTTTACTCCGAAAGCATTTCAACTGCTCTGTAATCTCATTGGAAAAGCTTTCTCGAATCTACCTACGCTCATGCTGTTTGATTGTCCGAGCTATCTTTCCCTGCCAAAACCACAAAATCATGCACACTGTTTCCCCTCCCTAATCCTTTTCGTACCCTCGGAACCATTGTTCTGATATCCAACTCACTCTCCCACCTCCTGTCTCCGACGAACTGCGATGGTAGAATTCCTTAGCGGAGTAGTCGTATCACCAACGACCCTAAACTCTCAAGTGTGACGAGGCCCGTGCAAAGCTCTCGCCAACGCAGGCAATCGATCCCCCACCCCGTGAACCATGATCGTGGTTGACAAGTGTAGAGGTCATGTTGAAACATTGGGCTCGGGGTGGACGAGCAAGAGATGGCAGGCAAAGCCAGTCATCGGTCTCTGGCTCGTCTGGTGAGCGACAGGGTCTAAGCAGCAACCGGCTGAGCCTAGGGAGTAGATCCTGCACACTGTACCCCTACACTGGCACCGTAGCTGAGGTATTCTATCATCAGAATACTTAGGGTGTCGCATCACCTCTGCTCACCCTAGAATGCGTACATAAAGAAGTCTCGGATGACCCTTAACTGAGCTGGGCATAAGTAAGGTAACCGTCTCGAGTCTCAACGCCAAGCCGCGCCAAAGAAGCGCCGGCGAATCCTCGGCAGCACCCGAATTTTTTCTTTTCGCGCACAAAAACCCTCCCTGACTCACCTTTCTCCCTCCTCCAAGCACTCTCACCACCACCGCTGCGTTTCTTTGCTCCCACAAAGATAACCCGTCCAGGGCTTATCCCCCCGCGCATCCACCCCTCCTTTCCTCACACGGAGTGGAGGGGCGGCCGGGGTTTATGCAAATGAGAAATTCGGAGTAATCTTCACCCCCACCACCACCAACACACACACACACACTATGCCTTTGACCGGGTAAAGACGGTGTTTGTATGTACCGCCCGTGAGGGCCCGCCGCGAAAGCGGTCGCAATCTGGCATCAGAAACGCAGGAAGCCCGTATCTTCTCTCTCTCTCTCTCTCTCTCCCTCTCTTCGTCTCTCTTCTTTGACCTCTCGGGGTTTTAGGGGGCGGCGGAGTTTGGAGGGGGGGGGGAATGGGGGGGAGGAAAGCGGGATTTCCTATGGGAGAGCCGTTGCGAAGATTGTGTGCCCTTTTCCCCTTTTTTGGGGGGATTGGGGTGACACTTTAGTGCAATACGCAGCGTGTCATGTCGGGTTTCTCCCCTTTCGAGAGGAGGAGCCGGTGGCATAATTCGATTCCGATTACTCTGGTGGGGAGGGTGCTTCACTCCTATTTCTTTGCAGGTACGTGGGACTTTCTTAACTTTTCCCGGGGTTGGATCGGAAGGGGTTGGAGATTTGGGATACTACTAATTTTGTTTCGGTGTAAGGGTTGATGAGGGTCACGGGATGGGAAGCTGGTAGAGCAGTCCTGTGAAGGAGACAACAGGGTCTGCTTTTCGGGTTGGCCGGGCGTGCATCAGGGCTTGAGATGACTAGAGGGAGCTGGGGATAGGTGGTGCTTATCAGGGAGAGCACTGGGACTGTATAGTCAGGGCATCGGGGAAGTCGTCAACCTGTAGATACCATGTCAAGCTACAGCAAATCCTTCTCAAATCACAGTTCCTACATTCGATCATGGCAGATTCTTCCCGGTGTGCATGTGAAGTGTTGTGATTCGGGCGCTCCACTCTTGGGCACTTTCTGTCATGGTGGAATAGGCACGATGTTGAATCAGTGGCTTCATTATGGAGGGATCGGAGGCTTTCTTTTACACAAAGGTCTTCTCCAAGCCATTCGCATTAGGGACAGCGTGAAGTTAGAAAAGTTGTATTATCATTATTTTTCACAACTGAAATCGGCCGAGATCCCGAAACATTTGGACAGAAATCTAGCTACATTAGCGAGTATGGACGTATCCAAGACGCCTAGATTGACGTGCAACTTTTTCCGAAAGAGACTGTCGTGCTTCCATCAGCATTACCACGGATAGTCGTGCCTCCAACACGGCTCTTGTCAAGCCTTGATGGCGCGAAGAAACTGGTGACGGTCTCGAGGAAGCAACGAAGCCGAAGAGCCGCGCTGACATGCTACCCAAACGGCGCGGTAGGATTGTCCTATCGTGAATTGTATCTGAAGCGAACACATGAAGCTTGCCCCTGTATATCCCAGACGCCCTGCTCATCCGCCCAAGGGCGCCGTTTCATTAATTTTGCTCATATAGTGACCCCAGCAAAGGGCCCGCACAACCCAAACTAAAGTCGGTGTCCAGGGACGAAGATGAAAAGTACGATCAGGCACACGCCAATCAGCACGGTGAAGAACAAGACCATCATTGCGCGTTTGTTCATGAGCTTTCGGATGTAAGGTTCTCTTATCCGTGACCAATTCATGAAGGTGTATTCGCTGAGACCAGCCAGGGCGAGAACAGGGTCGATCGAGTATTGTTGGGATGAAAGGGCGTAAACGCCAATGGTGAAGGGAAGAATGAGCTACAAAGCAGTAATTAGCTTCAGTAAGCGGTGAAGGATTGAGAACTCAACTGACCCAGCAACGGATATGTTTTGGCTTATCCAATAGAATGCATGCAAAACCAGCCCAGAACGCACCAAACAATCCCAGCAGACCCAGGCATAATCGGAGGAAAGAGCTTGGTGGCACTAAATTGCCAAGCGCCTTTGCCCGGAGAAAGCCTGGAAAGGCGTCGCGTTCCATGGCCTGGAAAGTGTAGTCTTTCGCCGCGTCGAAGACCTCGGGATCGTCGCGACCTTCTTCCTCAATAGATGTAGTGATATCGGTCAGGATACCCTGCGGTAGGATGATCTCTCGCTCCGAGCCCGGTAACAGGAAGGTGTAGAGGATTTTCTCGGCACTGGCCCTGATGTCTGCCCTTGCAACGGTATGTGCTGGGGAGTTTGAGTCCGTCCGACCAGGAGAGCCGTTGGTCATGAAGCTAGGTCTAGGCGGACGCTCCCTGTCTGTCCCATTCGAAGGTCGATCCCCTGATCCTTGAAAGTTGGACTGAGACCCCAGACTGCTCTGTGGTGAATGGTTGTTTCCGTTGCCATTGCCATTGCCATTGCCATTGCCAGCTCCGTTCCCGTTGTCCGAGCGTAAGTAGGCGGAGAGATGCTGGTCCTTGATCTTCTCATCGGAATTGAGATTCGTCGATGGACCCGACGGATCGTTCATATCTCCAATGTGGTCTAGTATGTAAGATGAGCGTTTTGAACCATGCTTCTCCAACTCTGGTGTTTCGATGAGAACCGAGCGACGCAATTCGCGAACATAGTGTCGGCAAAGGGACATGTGCTGGGAGACGTCGAGCCTGTTGCCGTGAAGTCAGCATTTCGTCCTTCATCGGCCACGTGCTCTCCGGCTGTAGAAGCAAGCATACCAGAAATCAAGATAGTCAACAGATCTTTGCTGATCTCGCATGTAGATGTAGAAGGAAAAGAGGTCGACGGGAGCTAAAGTCTGCCGGCTGAGGACCTCGAAGAGGGTAGGCAGGCGGTTTCGATTGAGATCTGGATGTGGCGATGGCGTGTCCATCATAGGATCAGACATCATGAAGCCGGCAGGACTGGAGGAATACTGAGCGGATAAATACGATAGTATTGATGGATGTAGATTTGATGTGGCTGTAAATGAAGCTGTCCTATGCGCAATCAACGGCGGCTCATCCCTTTCACGCAGCACTGGTTTCGGTGACCGTTTGTCGCGATCAATTAAAGCCCAGAAGAAAAGGGCAGGCAGTAACAATTTGGGAGAAGCTCTGCTCCTTCAATACCCTGATGCGGTTGGCTATAAATGCGACAGATGTCAGCCGTTCAATACATGTCGACTATGGAGGAGGTAAGGTAAGGTAACTGAGGTCGTTTGCTGCTAGCTTCGAACCTATATAAGTCTTGGCACCGTTGGTCCCATTACCAGTCTTCCATCGTTCATCACGTATTTCAAATCTACGAGTGAATCTGTTCGCGGAATCAATTCTCTCCACGTATCTACCAATTGCACAGTGGCAATTACAAAGTTATATAGCTCCACCTCCGGATCACTTTTTTCAATCAGTCCACCCCAAACGCCTCGCTTCTCTCTGCTTTCTTCCTCGGCAGCGGTACCGATGCATATCGCCTAGGACGCCGAAACTTTCCAACCAAGATGACAACTCTTGGTACTATAACGTGACACATGAATCTCAAGAATTAAATGGCGGTAGAGGTACAACACGTCCATCTAGGGCGTGCCCTGATGATCGGTCTCGGTGGGTCAGAGGATTTTGTACATGGTTATATCGGTTCGGGAAGAACAAAGGCTAAAAGCATAAAAGGCTGGGTAGTATTCTTTGAACCAAACGACCTTCACACTACCAAGCGACGAGGAGGCGTGGGAAGCAGCGGATTCTAAAG